CACACGTGTTTATGACGTATTTTCTTCACTGTTTTCCCACCCAATAGCTTTTCGATTGCTGTCATTGTTTTGCAGTTTCGATCTATCGTTATAAACGTGTTTTACTCCACCGTTTCAGCTTCATTCATGTCAAATACAACCAGAGGTAGTCTGCCACCTCAAATACTAGATACCTTTAATCCTCATCTCTACCGCCTCTAATACTTCCTCTGGTTACCGCCTCTTAACCCAACACCACATAAACCACGGGGCAGTATTTTACCGACCATGCAGTCGGTATTTCCGGTGATAAGGTCGACAGCTTTCGGCGGTTTCTCTTACCTCTTGACCATTTATCCATTCCACCGTCTATCTTTTCCATCAGCGACTCAGTCCTATAACCTTTTCACAACCAACGCCTAAAATACATCCCCACTCATTAACACCTGTTATTTTCCCTTTACCCACTCCGGCGTGTCTACACCTCAACGATCGTCGATTATGTGCTTGCTAACGTGGAAGAAGAAACCATTAAGTGACTGAGCTATCAGATGCCATGTGATGTAAATTTTAGAAGTATTTATGTTTTTTTAGTTATTAGGGTTGTTTTGGTGGAATTGTACATCGATCGATAGATGAGGATTAAGGTTCTGGGTAAACAATACAATTTGAGTCCAACATTGCTTCAGCCACATGGGAGAAGCACAACCGTAGCTTCAATTTTTGGTCATTGTTCATCTATACAATATTCTATTAGTTGTATTTCAAGTTGTATTTCGGGTGAATATGGAGTCGATTACGTTGTTTCCTCTATTAAAACTGATAATCAGTTAACCTGGAATACATGCTCATGTACAGGTAAGGTCTACTAATCGGAAAAATGATAACTTTTCAAATATTATCTCGCTTTTTATTATTGCTTGAAATTTGTGGATTGTTTTATTTAGGTCTGCATAGAAATGGAAGACAGGATCACCTACATGGAATATAGGTATGCCTCCCCAGTTATTTAATTGATTGACATATGCTTTAAATGTAAAGATTTTGATATTTATTTCGTGAACATTTTCATTTGGAATTGTAAACACACGACAAACTAGTAGTTATGGGGGCATTGTTACTGGACTTGGAAAAGGAGTGATTGTTGCTACTGGTATTGGTCTTCTTCAGGCTTAAGTGGTCTTTGTGTCACTTCATTCAAAATTTGTTTCTATCTGTTTAAATTGTACCCTCTTATAGGAGGATTTCATATTCCCACCAAAATTAAGCTAACAAAAACACAAATTTTAATCAAATTTAATCACGCCAGATAGGAAAACCTCCTTCTAAAGAATAGGTTTTGGAATCGTGCCTATGCTTTCATTATCCTCTGAATAAATACAATTTGTAAGTGACTTCAAATTAGGAAATATGATCTACAATATCTTTAAAATATTTGAAAGATTCTATACGATATACATGTTGAAATACATCAATAGGTAATACACCCCCGCAGTCGTAGCTGGAGGAGATTGGAGGTTAAGACTAGACCTGAAATCCTCGAACAGAGCACGTGGCAGCCCCTTCGTAAAGATATCAGTGATTTGGAACTGAGAGAAAACATGTAGAACTCGAACTTTTCCTTGGTGGACTTTCTCTGGAACAAAATGTATGTCAATTTCAATATTTTTGGTCCGCTGGTGTTGAATTTGGTTGCTGGACAAATAAACAGCGCTAACATTATCACAGTAAACAGTAGAGGCTTTAAACGGATGCTGATGGAGTTCGAGAAGTAGATTACAAACCCAACACAACTCAGAGAAAATGTTAGCTACCCCCTAGTACTCGGCTTCCACACTAGACCTGGATATGGTGAGTATCCTGATGTGGATCTCCGTGTGTCTGGACAACCAGCCGAATCGGCGTCTGTGTAGCCAATGAGAGACATGGTGCTACGTTTTTCCATGTGAAGACCAAAGGAGATGGTGCCTTGGACGTAGCGTAGGATTCTCTTCAATGTATTGAAGTGGGGAATGCGAGGTGCGTGCATGAACATGCAAACCTGTTAAATAGCATATGTTATGTCTGGTCGGGTCAAGGTTAAGTATTAGAGGGCCCCCGCTAGGCTACGATATAATGTGGGGTTATCCATGATTTCTCCATCGTTTTCACTCAGTTTACCATTAACGTTAACAAGAGTGAGGGCTGGTTTGCATGATAAGAGGTCGGCTCGTTCAAGGATATCCGAAGCGTATTTTTGTTGAGAGAGAAATAGACCGGTTAGAGTGTGAGTGACGGAGATGCCGAGAAAATGACTCAAGCGACCAAGATCTTTCATTGCAAATTCATCGGATAGTTGTTACATTATGGTTGAACGCAGAATGTCAGGTGATGTGATGAAGAGGATGTCATCAACGTATAGAAGAATGAAATCCATTTCATTGCCTTTGCGGTAAATAAATAATGAGTGATCACACACACTATGATTGAAACCCATAGAAGACACAAAGTTAGTAAAGCATTGATACCATGCCCGAGGGGATTGTTTCAGACCATATAAAGACTTTCGTAGACGACATGTATGATTTTGATAGGATAGATCCTGAAAACCATAAGCTTGATGCATGTAAACAGTTTCTGCTAGTGTGCCATGAAGAAAAGCATTGTGTACGTCTAGTTGATGGATAGATCAAGAATGATCCAAGCCTATAGTGAGTACAATCCGTATAGTAGCCGGTTTAACTACCGGACTAAACATGTCGCCACAGTCAATGCCAACCTGTTGAGACCTACCATCACAAACAAGATGGGCCTTGTACCGCTCAAGGTGACCGTCGGAAGATAATTTGTTCTTAAAAACCCACATACATCTGATCATATTCATATTAGGTTGATGAGGTACAAGTTCCCAAGTCTCATTAGCAATAATTGTATTAAATTTGTCACGCATTGCTTTGTTCCAGGCCTGGCTAGAGAGGGCAGCAGCAGGAATTTTTGGAATGGGTTCAGGATAAGTATTGGTGTGAAGGTTGAGTGGTTGGATTGGTTTAGTGATGCCAGACGTGGAACGGGTATGAATATTCCGGGTAGGGCGTGGCGGAGGTGGGTTGGGGGTAGTTTTAGTGATGGGAGGAATATGCAAGACAGGAGGCTGCTGATCAGCAGTTTGAGGTGTGTGAGTGGTGATTTTTGGGCGACGAGAGTAAGTATGAAGCAAGGGAGGAAGATAGGTGACAACCTGATATGTTTCGGCTGATGGAGGGGTGGTAGTAGGGGCTCTTGGGGCAGCGGAGGACCACAAAAATGGATGTGGGTCAGTTTAAAGAAAAGATTAAGATGGGGTGGGAGTAGAGAATGATTTAAAAGTAAAAACATTTTTGTCAAACACAACATGATGGGAAATTATCATCTTATGAGTAGTGATATTGTAGCATTTGTACCCTGGTGATTTGAAGGGTAACCAAGGAAAACACACGAGGAGGACCGATATTCGAGTTTATGAATGGGCGAAGATGGGTTCAACGGGAAACAAAGACATCCGAAAGTGCATAGGTGGTTGTAGGATGGGTGTTTACCATATAAGATGGAGGTAGGAGTGAAATATTGTTTGGTTTTGGTGGGAAGAATGCTAAGAAGATAGGTAGCGATTTGAAGGGCACAATGCCAAAACGAGGGAGGGACGGAGGAGTGGATAGAAGGGTTTGAATGATGTTGTTAATATATCGAATTATCCTTTCCGCTTTCCCGTTTTGAGGAGGTGTATGAGGACAAGAAAAATGAAACATCATTCCATTTTGTTTGAAAAAATTGTAAAATTGAACGTTGTTGTATTCGGTTCCATTATCATATTGAAAAGTTTTGATTTTGCATTCAAATTGAGTTGAGATATATGTGGAAATTTGGGTAAAGGTGTTGTATACATCAGACTTGCGGATTAGGGGGTAAGTCCACAAAAAATTAGTGTAATCATCTAATAATAACATGTAATATTTGTGTCCTCCACTGGATGGTATAAATGATGTCCATAAATCACTATGAATGATGTCAAATGGTAAGTGAGTAGATGATATAGAATCATAAAAGAGCATTTTTATTTGTTTGCCAAAACTACATGAGTAACAACGAGGAAATTTAGAAGTAGTCTGACAAGTGATAACATTATTTCTATTTAAACGACAAAGTAAATATGGTCCCAGGTGCCATAGGCGTTGGTGCCTGACTTGTTGAGAGATGGCTGAAAAAGCAAAAAGAGTGACAACTTGCACTACTAGAAAAACAACCTTTTACGACACACAAACAATGACACGCAGTGATTTACGATGCGTAAAAGCGTGCATCCTAAAAATAATGTCATTTCTTCTAAAATTTGAAGGATAGTGGACACGCATTTGACATGCATTTGTGCGTGCCCTAAAATTAGTGTTAGAAAAGAAAAAAAATACAAACACGGAGGGCGCTTATCTTAAACGTGTGCCCTCTTCAAATGTCGATTTATATTTTTGCTTAAACGTGCGTTTTTAAAGGGCGGAAAACGAAATCGTGAGATTCTAAAATTTTGAAGAACCCCGCTTCTACCCTCTCTCCTCAATATATCCCTTCATTCACTCCTTCCTTCTCTCTGTAATCCCTCATCGCCACCGCCATTGAACCTTAAAATCTCAATCCACACTTCACTTTCATTCACTCAATCCGGCCCTTAAATTTTAGCAAACCCACCAGAACCCTAAGTCATGCCTTTTATGCTTTCACATCCTTCCTTCCCTAGTCGTATGTTATTCTGAATCCTTATTTCTTTTCTCTATCACGAACGCGCCTCTATCTTATCGCTTTGCTCACCGTCGTCGTCTTAGGCTCTTACGCCTCCATCGTGGTCTTTGTGCTCATGGTATCATCATACATGCCGTCTCTTCTCATCGTTCTTCTCCTTGACCCTACGCAGGTAATATCATCAGTACTCCCTCTTATCTTCGTCTGCTCCTTGGCCCTACGTAGAGCGTGGCTATTACCTTGTTTTCCAACGACCTGTCAACCCAAATCCTGACATGGCTAACCTATGGCAAACTGTGATGGCGATTCACCGCCCAATGCCGAAGACTATGGCGATGGTTGGCATTCAAGCTTTTGACCTAATACACTTCATCAGAGAAAGAGAAGGAAGATTCGATGAATTCAATCAGACGGTCAATTGTTCACTTCTCGAGGTCTGTTACGATCTCTATCTTTTATTAATTTTGTTTGTAAATTTTGGTATGATTCTCATTTCTTCAATCGCTTAGTGACATGGCTTTTAACATGTCATCATCATAACTGGATCTAGATCAGCAAACAACAGAGTACATGAAATTGAAATTGAAATTGGTATTATCTAGCTAAATCGATATCGATTTGACTCCAAATTGGAGTCAATCGAAGGATTATTTGGTAAGGTGCTCATTCTTTTATTTTCAACAGAGACGAGTTTTGTTGAAAAGACTGATGCCTACTGGTTTTTAGATTCACTTCCATTTTTCTTTCAGGTTACAACATCTTTTATATGGGAGGTGATATTGCCACGACTCTTTTTTTTAATCCACGGATTTTAAACCATATTGACTATTTTGCCCCTCATTTATATGGCCTCTCCTTCTCTCACTCTTCCACCTAAATAGCTATCTTCCTCTTTGATACCTTTCATATACATTCATCATTATCCTATATTACTTTTCCAGCTGGATATATACTTGTACATCATCTATACTGATACAGTCATCACAAACGTACATTATAGATACGGCTTGGAAGAACTCTACAGAAGTTGGATTCACTTTTATTGGGTAGGATGTTGAACACAATAGGGGAGGATGTTGAACACAACCCTAAGGCTGTTGAAGTTGATAAATCTGATATTTCTGGTCTTACATGGATGAAAGTTCCATGGACTAATCAGCTTGCTGTTAGAATCAAAGATGGTTTGAAGTACAAGTTCACTGGTTTTCGTGATCAGGTAGCTTTTCATGGTGATTCATGCATGTATCTTTATTACATATCAAACATCTTTTTCCTTATCATAGTGTTCTATTTTATTATACTGTCGGATGTTATTAGCCTGACCAACTTTTTCCAGAACTCTTGTGGGTTAACAATAGAAGAGAAACAACTTTCTATTAGTGGGAAACAATGGGGAGAAGTTGATTTAAATGGTTAAGACCTTTATCCTTATTTTGTTTTGTAAAATCTCCAAATTAGTATATTGTGGAGCAACACACATTTAGTAATGTTGAGATGTAAATGAAACTAGTTAACATGTTATTCTAACAGCAAGCTTTTTGACTAAGTGTGTTGAAGATGAGTGTGCAAAAGATGATGAACATTGGTTTGAACATGGATGAGAACACAACAGGGGAGGATGTTGAACACAAACCTAAGGTATCCCTACATGTTGATGATGCTGCTGTTCTTTGTGAGGTAAGTCTCACTTCTCAAAGACCCAAAACTTTCATTTCAAAACTTATACTCATGATATGTAGGATTTATACTTTAAATTCATTCCTTTTAGTATTTTTCAACAAACATTTTAGCATGCATTGATGTTTCTCATCATAATCTACCTTTTGATCCCAAATTTACAAACCCTATATGCATTCCAACCATCAAGAATGTAACTGGAAACTCATTCCACTGATATGTTACTTGAAATTGGACAGAATATGTATACCCATTTCTAAATAACAGTATAAGATATACCAAACATGGATGGATATATCTAAAGAGTATACACACTTCCCTTACATAACCAATTGGAAACTAAATTCTGCCAAAGTGAATACATGGCCACAAGACCTTCATAGGAATGCTGATGACCAAAGAAAATGCTTCTCTGATTCGAGACATGTTTCAGGTGATGTTTTTCATTATGATCTTGAAGCATCTGATAATGATTTTCATATCTCCCACTCCCAATCATATGACACTATTCAGAGCTTTGACAAGCGAGTTCATGATGAGATGGTGCTTCAAGCTACATAGGTATGAATTTTCTACTAATTCTAACTTATGTTTGAGAAAACTTTTAAAGACATTTCCCTTTATTTAACATTTTTCTCTTGAATTTTATTATCACATGCAATTGTTGCTGAAGTGGAGGATAAAACAAGCAATGATGATGTTGGTGTTACTGTGGTTAAACCTAATGAAACTATGCCAGAGTATGAGGGTTTTACCATAGATGAAAAGGAACTGGAAAATGCTGAAGGAGGTGGTGGAATAGATTTTGACAAGCTTGAATTGCCTAGTTCCCCATCGGTTTCCACATGTGCTAGTATTAGAAGGAATGCATCCCTTCAGATTTGTTTTTTTACCTTTTATCACATGTTTGATATGTTTCAGGTTTTTTACCGTTTTCTTGTTATCTTTCCTTTAGATCTAGTCATATATTTCATCCGTTTGTCCTTAGATTCTATTTGAAATCTTACTCTTTGTCAAAAGCATGTATAAGAATATAAAGGAAAGTTATTCCTTGCTGCAAATTTATATCTCATAAATGTTCTTTATCTTTTCTTTTAGGACTTTAAGATATCCCCTAAAGAAATACACTTCCCTTTTATGGCAACATGATTCACTTATTGAAGTTATAAATCTAATTTACTTTCTCACATCTTCACTTAAATAGGAGATTTTACACAGTTTGTGATAATTTTGGTTTGGTTTTTGTTGGGTGTGACAAGATTTTAAGGAAGTGCACATTTCAGGGACTAATCCTGAGCAGTATCAATCCTAATGGATAGATACAACCCATGATTTTTATGATGATATCATAACAATGTAAGAACACTTGATCTTTTCCAGGGTATTGTTCTTGATTCTTATACTTAATAAAAAAAAGAATTTCATATGATAAAAGATTGCATTGATCTGTCAATGAATCAACTTATTGGAACTATTTCCTTCTCATATGGGTTTTCTTTTCCTAGGCTATTATGAAGAAACTAGTGGAACTTAGTGGAAAGGGAATGACAAGATGAGCCACATCTGGATAGGTGTCGGTGCTAGCTTGGAGCTTCTAGAAGGAAAAACACTTCTAGGTATGCTGACCTTGAATGACACTTGAGCCCGTATCTTTAATCTTGTTTTGTCTTTTGAACCACGGTTAGAAAGTCATAATAGAAACTAACTTGCCGTTTTTGATAGTTTTGAAGTTTAGACTAGAAGTTAATAAAGGTCATGTGAATAACCTTCAACCAAAACAAATGAAATTTCTTATGTTTATTTTTTTAATTAATTTGGTAGCTTACCAATTTTGGAAATACTCAAATAACATGATGCTAACTTATGATATATATATATATATATATATATATATATATATATATATATATATATATATATATTTATTTATTTATTTATTTATAGGAAAATGAACCATTTATGCTACTATTGAGGGTCATATTTTGTCATTTTAGATAAAATGTCATTATTTATTTAAATATTATGTTTCTACATGTTTCTAGGTAATTCAAAGAAAATTAGTAAGTGTGCTTACATTATCCACCTTGATCAATGGCATCATTAGGCCTTGATCAATGTCTTACACAAGGACTATACAAATCCTATGCTTCCTGTTGCATCTTCAACAATAGATGCTACTGGTATGGTAAAGTCATTATTCTTTATAACAGCTTGAAGGATTGTTTTGTAAAATTACTCAACTTTTTGTTGTATTATATATTTATACTTGTATTATGCTTACTAGTTTGGCAACGTTGTTGTCCTAGACAAAACTTATTTTGTAGTTATGTTTTTTTGCAGGCAATATAGATACTGTGACTAACTTCATAGATTTAGAGTCCTTGAGTGGTGTTATTAAGGAAGATTGGAGACAAGTCAGGCACACATTTAAAAAAATCAGCACATATCTTGTTTACAGTGAGGCACACATTAGGTTATTAGAACTATTAGTTTGTAAATTTGTGTTACGTCTATTGATTTATTTTATCTTTCCATGGAACAACTATTTGTATGACATTAAATTTTGTGCAATGTATTGTATTTTTTGTATATGGTATTTTATTTTCTATTAGGAGACATGAAATGCAAATTTAATTTAAAAATCAGTGAATCTATAAATAATTTTAAAAAAAAAAAAATTAACTACGATACGCAAAAATGTGTGTCGTCTTCATTTATGACATGACCTTTCTTGACAAGGGCTTCCTTGATATGCATTGCGTGTCATAAACACGTGTGTCGTAAGGTTATGACATGCAAATGCGTGTCGTCTTCCTTTATGACAGGGCCTTCCTTGATACGCAGTGCGTGTCATAACCGCGCGTCGTAAATGCGCTTCGTCTATAGACGACGTGCAAAAGCACGTCGTCTCTCTTTATGACAGGGTCTTCCTTGATACGCATTTGCGCATCGTCTGAGCGTTTTACGACGCACAATGAGCCTCGTAAAAGGCTGTTTTTCTAGTAGTGTTGAATTGAAGAGGGAAGAAGCGGGTACAAATCTCCGATGCTGTTACATCGAAGTATAGGTGTCCGCGCCCGGTATTCCTTCACAAGAAAACAAAAAGCATCAAGTTCAATGGAAACTTGGTTGTTGGTTGTGAATCAACGAACTGATAATAATTTTTTGATGGGATGAGGAGAGTGAAGAATGTTGTTAAGTTTGAGAGGTGGAAAAGGGGGTTTTAAGATGGTATGGCTGGATCCATGTATAGGTATTCTAGAACCGTCACCAACCATGATATCATTTAATGTATTATTGTTAAAATAAGACGAGATAATACCTGAGTTGTTTTCATGTGGGATGTGGTGTTGGTATCCATGTATCGGTTCTTGTCCGGAGGGTTGAGGGAAATGGTGTGTAGAGCTTGCTTGATATCCGTAGGAGTGTGGCCAACACCGTAGTTGTCATTAGAAGAAGGGGGATTAGGACCAAGAATCCAACATGTGCTTGAGGGGCTGATGTCCTTGGTCTTGTAGCTTGTGGCATTGTCGGGTGAGGGCAAGGTGGGATAGCCCATATCAGGGCGTTGTCCATATGGTGGCTGTGAGGATGGGACCGACCAAGAATTGCCTTGGAGATATTGTTGTTGTTGGAAGTTGTTCCAAGGAGAAGGAGGTCCATGAGTTTGAGAAAACGACCTCTGATGTTGGTATTGATGTTGTGAGCCACGACCCCACCCATTGTTGCCTCGTACTTTACCACATCCATGTCCCCAGTTGTGGAAGTTGCCACGGCCCCTGCCACTATCAGACCAAGGTTGAGGAAAAGGTGTGGTTCCCAGATTAGCAGTGGAGATCAAAGTCGTGTGGGATGTTTGGGTGGACTTTCAGGTTTCCTCCATAATAAGCTTGGATCGGACATCATAGAAATTTGGAAGGGGATCAGATTGTTGAATCAGCATGACAATCCCATCGTATTTCTCGGAGAGACCTGCAATGATTTGTAAGACAAGGCTTTTGTTAGAGACTGGAGCTCCCAAATTAGCAAGTTGATCCGCAAGTAATTTCATGGCTTGACAATAGGATGTAACATCAGAGAAACTGTCGATGCGGGTGGTGGTCAGCTTCTGTTCCAAATAAACAGCCCGAGAATTTTTGTTGTCTTGGTAGATGTTTGCAAGGGCTGACTAGGCTTTGGCAGCAGTGGAGTCAAGAGTAAGAATGGTGTGAAGAAGTTCGTGGGAGATGGTACTATAGATCCACTGAAGAACTAGGGGATTGAGGCGGGGATGAAGTTGAAGATCGTCCTGTGCTTTTTCTTTTTCTTTTTCAGAAGACAAGCTAGCAGATGTAGGGGGCATGATGAAGTCGATGATTTCAAAAGCCCTGCAATGAATCTTAAAGAGTTCAGACCAGTTGGTGTAGGAGCTGTTTTCCATATCGAGTTTGATGGGAATGAAGTTGTGAATGTTGGTAACAGTGAAAGAAGGGTGGAGATCCATTGAGAGAAGATGTGGAAGGTAGAGATGAGAATAGGTTTTGATTTGAGCTCTGATACCATAAAAGAATAGGGTTAGAAGAATATTGATTTGAGCTCCGATACCATAAAAGAATAGGTTTTGGAATCGTTTTTCTGCTTTCATTATCTTCTGAATAAATACAATTTGTAAGTGCCTTCAAATTAGGCAATATAATCTACAATATCTTTACAATATGTGAAAGATTCTATAGGATACACATGCTGAAATACATCAATATCTAATACCTTCCATTCCATCTGAAATACCAATTTCTTCGGCCTCCACAGTGGGATCGACCTCCTGCAAAAGACCAAAATAGCCTCCTTACATATATATTATTTATACCAAACACCTTCAAGTATCTACAAACAGGTCTTTTTCTTGCCATATATTCAACCAATAGATGTCAAATACCACATTGACGAATATTAAGTTTATATTTATTGATCTAAATTTGGATTTTTTTTGGGTTTCGTAGAGACAATGTCAAATACATGGAAACAATGGTGATGTTAAGCTTTGGTAGACCGTTGTTGAATCTATCATATATCCCAGACATTTTAACTAACAGAAATACTTGATAATATTAAGGTAATTTCCAAGCTTTCGATATGTGTGAATCTCCAAGAAAGAAAAAAGTTAAATTCATAATAATTCTTAGCTGCTAAACAAAAACCTCATGAAGCAAAATAAATAGAAAACAAGACTGAGGGGAGTGGTCCCAAAACAGACCTGGGACAATGTATGTGCTCCTGGAAGACCTGTAACGTCAAGGCAAAAAATCATAGTTGGTAAGAAGAAGAGAGAAAGACGGAGGGGGAAAGGTTCTTTACCTCTTTTGTGGGGAAATTTACACACAGGTCAAAAAAGGTGGGTATATTTTTTGTGTGATTATCTAAATGTTTACACTGTTGTTGTCAATTCATTAATTCTTTTAATTGGGTGCGTATATTTTTTGTGTAATTATCTCAATGTTTACATTGCTGTTGTCGATTCATTAACTCTTTTACTTCTTCCACACTGATCAAACCAATAGTTTCATGGGGAAACTGGGAAATGATTCTCTATTTGTTTTATAGATTGTTTTAGCTCGACAATTCCATTTCAACTACATAACAACACACAGATCTAGACAAGGATTGCAAATATCTGTAACATCTGTACTTGAAATGCAACATTAACTAGGCATATCGCACGAGGAAAGTTAAAGATGTAAGAAGTGGGTAGCAATAAGTATGTTGTACAATTTGTCTTCTTTATGATACTGACGAATCATATTTTCCTCACATTTGTTATTAGAGTTGATGCAAAATTCATTTTGATGTTGTTTCAGGTGAAGTATGTAGTATCAGTCGATCATGCTCCTCTTTATATTATATATATATATATATATATATATATATATATATATATATATATATATATATATAATATAAAGAGGAGCATGATCGACTGATACTACATACTTCACCTGAAACAACATCAAAATGAATTTTGCATCAACTCTAATATATATATATATATATATATATATATATATATATATATATATATATATATATATATATATATATATATATATATATATATATATATATATATATATATATATATATATATATGTTTCTCCGTATGATTTTGATAGGTTATGAAGGAAGCTGGCAACAACAGCCAGACGAAAACTTTCATGAAGTAGGGTTGTACCTTCATATTCACTCCAAACATCTGGTACCGGTAGGATTCTCATTTCACTGATTCTAATTATACAAGTAAACAATTGAAGTTGAACTATTACCATCTGTAATTAACTATTTTATTTTTTGTTTTCTATTGTAAACAAATTGTTTTATAGGTGGCTATGAAGGATACATCATCTCCACATGTTAGTTCTTTTTAATTTTCTCATTTTTTTAACATTTATGTGATTATTAATGTAATCTTTCACTTTTTATCATGCAACTATTTTATGCAGAAACCAGGATTAAGCAAAGTTCATGCTCTAAAAAGATGATGTATGTAGGAATAACCAATTAAATAGATGTTCAGGTAGCATGACTCTTCATTTCATCAGGTTGTTGTATATGTTTATGTGTGATGTTGTGTTTTTTGTGTGAATAGACTGCTATCTCTTGAATTTAATTATTAAAATTTGTTTCTGTCATTAAAAGATAGTAGTTTCTTTTCCGTTTTAGGTTTGTGTTATGGTTTATTACTTTTTTTGAAAACATTAAATATTATTATGTTGTGAATAGGTGTTGAGGTTAGATGTTCTGGATGTTATTTGTAATAAACCTATTGATGTTTTCAATCACATTCAAATATAAAGAGACATTATTCCTTACATTACATAATTTCTAAAGATGAATCCTACAGGGTATGTCACGTTGCTAAACAATACTCTTTGCGTTCTTTATTACCTCAGCATCTTACAAGAAGATTAATAAGTTATTTAGTAAGTTGCTTTCTAAAGAGGTGTACTTTACAATTTAATTACTATAGTGAACGCTAATCCCTAAACCCAAATAATTTTTTTTGTAAGAAAATGTGTTAGTTAATTTGTGTTGAATGTGAAGGTATTAGAAGCACTTAGATGACCAATATTTGCAATGTTAATTCAATGATCACTCGTAAGCATTTTGCATTGTGAGAGATAATATTAGTTTTTAAAAATAATTTCTTAGATGTATTGTTTTTTTGTTTTATGACAGCCGAATGCACCCTTGAAGAAACATTTTCTATTGTGGGAGATATCATTATTTTTGCAAGTGGAAGCCCATTTTCTGATGTGAAAATTGGCTTTTCTTTTAATTCTCTTATTATTTTCTTTTCGTAAGTGGAAGTCTTTAATTATATATTTTATTCATGTAAGAAATAGACATATTGGCCATTGTAACTATGGAACCAATATGTATCTTTTTCCTAGGTTAGTTTTTACTTTTGATATCCGAATTTAAAATTTGATGTATTTTTTATTTTTATAAATTTATTTAAAAAATTTTTGCAGCTTTGGTCTTGGTACTCTTCTTTGCAGCTCTAGGGTTATCTCGGACGATGTGTTCGAGGCAGCTGACTTCAGCCTAGATGCATATATGAATGAAGAGGATGTCATAAAAGGAAGTATAGACCCTACAATTTCAAGGTATAGAATTAAAGAGATGCCTCATCAAATAGAATACAATTCAAAATCATCTTTGTGGAGAAACTGCATATTAGGGAGACCAAAAAACAAAAAAAAAAAATTTCTTTCTTTTTATCTCTTCTTTTGAATGTCTCTATGTGTTTAATGACTTAGACAAAAAAAAATACACATCTGGCCCGCAACGCGGGTAACTCAGCTAGTTTTAATTATAATAATTTAAGAATATAAAAAAAAAAATTGTTATATAATAAAAATTATAAAAAAATAGATTTGGTTTAGATGTTTATCAAGGAAATTCTCCTGAAAATAAGTAACGAATCAATAATTAAAAAATGCTCTAAAATAAATAACTATTTCCATAGTTCTTTCACAAAACCCGCCAACTGCACCGTCTCAACGTTTAAACCCTAGATTTCATAAGAATTCTCAAAAGATAAATAAATAACTGCTGTCGAACGGAGAGGAATGATATCAATGGATGCATGTGTTGAAGGAAGTCAAGCGTTTTTCTTAATTCATCTTCACGCTAATCATACCGTTGGTTTATGGCCTCGTTGGAAGAAAGGTCAACTTTTCTACTCTTGCTTCGAATTCTCGAAATTGGACAATGATGCTCGTTATATTTGGTTTCCTTGTGGTCTTCCTTAGAAACGATGGTTGAAGTTATAGCCATTGATGGCTATCCTTTCCCTGTTAAGTCTGGTTTGGATTTGATATAATTCATGCAACTGAAGAATATGATAATGTAATCTGTTCCATTTTCGTTTGTCACATACATGTTAGTGTAGGCAGGATGAATGCTACTGCAAGTTATTGGTAAACGTTATGAAGGAATAATGTGATAACCATTACACAGTCTTTGGTATATAACTTTGCATGGATCAAAATAAATAGAGGTAGCTAGGTGGGGAGTTAATGCTAGAGAGTCAAATGTCTTAACCCCTTTAATGATAAACATCTACTCACAGTCTTTGGTATATAACTTTGCGTGGAACTGATGAAGAAGACAAGATTTCAAGTCCCACCATCTAAAAATTTTGACTTTGTATTTATGTCTGTGATTGAAAGGGGTGTATGTGACTTGAAAAAAAGTATGAAATGTAGGTGGTTGATGAACCATTTAATTGTCAAGTTGTGTATATTATTTAAAACATTTGTCAAGTTGTGTATATTTATGTCTGTGATAGCAAGTAGAACTGTAGAAGTATTCCTATCCAGATCGAGTACTCTTTTTGTTGACTAGCAGCCAATCCTGTTTGACCTCCTAGGAACTTCATCTTAGAGCTCCACTGTCATTTATAAAATACCCAATACTCATAATATGTTTCTGCATATGATAACATTTGTCATCTCTCTTTCTCTCTTTATCTATCTCCTTGTCTAAATCTTGCAAAGGTCATGTTCTTCTCAAAAAGTAATAGCTTAGCGAGGATTCTTCACCTCCTGTGTTTTTGTTTCTCTCTGACCATTAATCTCTCATCTGAAGCCAACATCATATCTTCAAGCCAGTCTCTATCTGGAGACCACACAATCATATCCCAAGGTGGAAAGTTTGAGCTTGGTTTCTTCAAAGCAGGTAACTCTTCCAAGTATTACATAGGCATATGGTATTATAAGAAGCTCCATTTCAATCTTCACACCATAGTTTGGGTGGCAAACAGAGAAACACCCATCTCTGATAGATTCCGTTCAGAATTAAAAATCATTGATGGTAATTTGGTGCTCTTGAATGAATCCAAGTTGCAGATTTGGTCCACAAATGTCACAACCACCACCACCACCACTTTGAACTCTGCAACAGCTGTTATTCTTGATAATGGTAACTTAGTTTTGAGAGACTCCGGTTCAAATTCAATTGAACCTTTTTGGCAAAGTTTTGATCACCCAACTCATACTTGGTTGCCTGGTGCTAAACTTGTTTATGATAATAAAGAGAATAAGAGTCGGCTGCTTACATCATGGAAAAGTTATGAAGATCCTGCTGTAGGGCTGTTTTCTCTTGAGCTTCACTCGTCTACTAAAGAGTACGTAAGTAAATGGAATGGGTCCCAGCAATATTGGACAAGTGGGTCTTGGAATGGGAAAATATTTGACTTGGTGCCTGAAATGAGTTATGCTTACATTTATAATTTCAGCTACCATATGAATGAGAATGAGAGTTCTTTCACTTATTCTCTGTATAATCCTGCCATTATATCTAGATTAGTATTGGATGTCTCTGGTCAACTTCAGCAACAAGTATGGTCGGAATCTACAGCAGAGTGGGCTATGTTTTGGTCTAAACCAAAAGAAGTGTGTGACATCTATGGTTTATGTGGGGCTTTTGGTACTTGCAGACAGACTGAATTTCCATTATGTAATTGCTTGACTGCTTTCGAGCCAAGATCAGAGAGTGATTGGAATCAGAGTGACTTCTCCGGTGGGTGTGTGAGAAAAACTGATTTGCAGTGTGGAAGAATTGAAGAAAAGCCTGATTTTATCATGATTACAGTGAAGAAACTGCCTCCACATAACTCTGTGGCATTTGGGAGTGCTGGAGAATGTGGTACAACCTGTTTGAACAATTGCTCCTGTAATGCTTATGCTTTTGTCGATAATCAGTGTTTGGTTTGGCATGGAGATCTCTTGAACCTCTTGGAAGATGGTAGAGGGAAAACAATGTATGTCAAAGTTGCTTCTAAAGATCTTCCACATCATAAGAAGAGTAATCTGGTCACCATGGGAGCTGTTGTTGTGTGCATGGCAGGTGTGGTTTTGGTCTGGGGTGTAAGTTTGATTTTAATGTATAGAAGAAAGAGGATATGGGTTGGAAAGACGACAATGGAGGGATCATTGGTGGCTTTTGCATACAAAGATTTACAAATAGCCACCAAAAATTTCTCTAACAAATTGGGAGGAGGTGGTTTTGGCTCGGTTTTCAAGGGTGTATTGCATGATTCGTCCACTGTGGCAGTGAAAAAGCTTGAAGGCATCAACCAAGGAGAGAAGCAATTCAGAAGTGAAGTCAGCACAATCGGTAACATCCAACATGTTAATCTTGTACGCCTTCGTGGGTTCTGTGCTGAAGGTAAAAAAAAGTTGTTGGTGTATGATTACATGGAAAATGGTTCTCTAAATACCCATATACACTATGGAAAACAAGCTCTAAATTGGAAAACGAGGTATCAGATTGCACTTGGAATTGCAAGAGGCTTGGTTTATCTTCATGAGAAGTGCAGAGACTGTATCATTCACTGTGACATAAAGCCAGAAAACATACTTTTAGATGCCGAATTCTGTCCAAAAATTGCTGATTTTGGTTTAGCAAAGCTTGTTGGTCGAGACTTTAGTAGGGTTTTGACGACTATCAGAGGGACACGAGGATATCTAGCTCCAGAATGGTTATCAGGGGTGGCTGTCACAGCCAAAGCGGATGTTTATAGCTATGGAATGATGCTTTTTGAATTGGTTTATGGTAAGAGAAATGTAGTGCCTTGTGAAGACTCAAAAAGTACGTTCTTCCCTAGTTTGGTTGCGGATGTTCTTGTTGGGGGAGGTGATATCCTTAGGTTGCTAGACAATAGGTTAAATGGGGAAGCTAGTGTTGAAGAAGTCACAAAAGTTTGCAAAATCGCATGTTGGTGTATCCAATACGAGGAAGAGAGTAGACCATCAATGAGTATGGTGGAACAGATTCTTGAAGGGGTTTTGGATGTGAACATGCCTCCGATTCCCCAATGTTTCACTTCATTTGTTGATAAGGAAAATCGTGTTGTTTTCTTAATGGATTCATCCTCCAATGAGAGTTCACAAGTACACAACAATTCCTCTTAGTTAGAGTTGTAAATGAACTGAACGTTCAACAAATTGTTTTTGAATCGTTCGGTGGGAAGTTCATTGATGTTTATTTATTTAATAAACTAACGAACATTAACACAAATTATCGTTCGTTTAATTAAACGAACGAACATGAATAATGTTCTCGTTCGTTCAATTAGGTTCGTGAACGTTCATTTATGTTGTCCGTTTACGTTTGTTTATGTTCGTTCATATAAGCTAATTTTATGTTCACATATGCTTAATTGTGTTTGATTACATTAATGTATTATATGTTCATTTATGTTCATGTATCTTCAATTATGTTTTTTTTATTTTTGTTCATTTATGTTCGTTTAACATTTTCACGAATATAAATGAATGAACATAAACAATGTCATTTGTTAAACGAACGAACATGAACAAGACAACTCGTTCGTTTGTTCGTTTGTGTTCGTTTATTTGTTCGGCTAACTTAAACAAACGAATATCAACAAGTCTCGTTCGTGTTCGTTCAGTTCAGTTCATTTACAGTGAGCTCATTTTCTTGAAAGTCTTTCGTTGTTTGTTACATTCACCAGAGAAAACGTATCGTTGGAGTCATTGACATTTTTGTTGCAAATTGATCACCGTTATTATGAATAGAATATGACTATATGAGCTGATCTAGAGCAATAACTGTTTTTCTTTGCATTAAGATATTTACAACTATTGAAAACTGTAAATGTATTTTCTTGACAAAACGATATAGGGATTCGTAATTTATACCGGAGCCTAGCTCACTAATCTAATAAACTATGTAAATAAGAAATTTGTTTATTTCATAAAATACCTTATTTTTTCATAAAATACCTTATTTTTTTCCGTTTCATCTAATAGTTTTTTTCCCCTCAAAAAAGACTCAACTTTGACATATTCTTTTGTTATTTCAGCAATGGAACATTGGAACCCGTTACCAATATTCCATAAATTAAAGACCCTAGATTTTGCATTTTTCTTTTCCATTTTAGATCTATTTTTTCCAAAATAAATTCAACCTTAACCTATTTATTGTTATTTCATTAATTGAGCCACATTTTTTTTTAGAAAACGGCCATATATTATAAAGATACCCAACCTAGCAAGTGGCAAGGGAGGGGCAAAAACGAAACAAACATGAAAAGTTAAAGAGACATTACAAAAAAGAGAAAGGAGATGTATTCCACTCATCCCAGTTACAAAAACCGCCTGAGCTTCTAAATTGAGGAAATGACTTAAAAGCCCAACGAAGTTTCCAAACCATTCAAAAAACCCCAATCATTTTTTGTCTATTCAAAAAAACCTAACGAACTTAACATTTTGTTTAAAATGTCCAACAAAGTTTCAAACCGTTCAGAAAATTCCAATTTTGTTTTGTTTAAGTTCGTTGGTTTTTTTTTTGAACAATCAAAACATGATTGGAGTTTTTTAAACGTTTTGGAAACTCCGTTGGTCTAACAAGTCATTTTTCCGATACGGTAATAAGTCACGTCATCTGTTTCTCTTATTTGATTTTCGAGAAAGTGTAACTTAGTTAGGCTTTTTAGATAAAATGTTAAGTTTGTTGGGTTTTTTTGAACAGGCAAAACATTATTGAGGTTTTTTAAACAGTTTGGAAACTTCGTTGGGCTTTTAAGTCATTTTCCCCTTCTAAATTTCATCCATAGGAACCTGAATGACTTTATTAGTTCAGCCCCCTTGCTAGGACTTGTGACCTTGCTTCGGAAAATTCTGTCGTTCCTGAATTTCCATATCCCTCATAGTAGATAGTAACATATGACAATAAATCTCCTTCGTTTCTTTGGACACTTGCCCCATGTGGTAGCAAATTGGACGAAATCGCAAACACCATTGAAAGAGGGGGGAAGTTACTCCACACCAACTAAGTATCTTCTCTCGGATAGAGGCTGCAAATGGACAACTAACTAGCAGGTGGTCCGCATGTTCATCTGATCCGACACATGAACCACATGTTGAGGAAGAGATGGTGATACCACGACGCGCCAAAGCCGTTGTTGTAGGGATACGACCCATAGTTGCCCTCCGTATGAATCCTAGAACTTTGATAGGAGCTTCTTTATACCATACAACAATGGGATTTGCTACCTGAGGCAATTTATGGTCTAGTTTCCGCCTTAAGACCTCCACCTTGTACTTACCATCCATCGCCAAGTTGCATTTCCATTGATCATCTCCACGCGTAAGTGGGTAGGAGATTATATCACTGTACAACAAGCTTAATTCATGGGA